TTCCATCCCACCATCCCATCCCATCCCATCCCATCCCATCCCATCCCATCCCATCCCTTTCTCAGGGCTCCACAGCCCCTGAAAATTCTCTCCGAATAACTTGGGCTCGAAGTTTAAAGCAGCCCCAGTCCCTGGTCTAATGGTTTGTGGGGATGCTTCTGATCCAGAATGACAGGGATGTTTTTGGCTTGTCCGAGGTCCTGCACTGGCAAAAGCCTCGCCGTAGCAGGGCAGTGGGCTCTAGTGTACCTGAAGCTGGGAAGAGAGGCACCTAGGAGGGGGAAAATTTGGGAGGAGAAATATGATCAGTATATGAGCAAACAGGGGAATCCTGTGGGCTGCTGGCAGCTCCAGCGTGTCCCTGATGGGGCGTTTGTCTGGGAGCCAGGAGCTGCGAGGTCCAGACCTGTCTCTGCCGCTGCTTGCTGGGTTTGTTTGCCAAACCACTCTCCGCCTTTCCCCTCTTCTCGTAAGCACAGACGTCCACTGCAATGGGGGTGCCTCTGGCTGCACCGCGCCTGGCCCTGGGAGCTTGCGCCCCTGGGACCGATGTCTGGGAACGGTCACCATAGCCAGGAGCTCTGGAGGGGTCAGCCCTACCTGGAAGCAGTTCTTGAATTTCCGGCTGACGAAGTAGAGAGCCACAGGGTTGATGCAGGAGTTGAGGGAGGCCATGTTGATCCCAAAGTAATCCATCACTAGGAGGAAACTGAGGCGGGAGGGGAGAGAAGAGGGTGGACGTGTTGTAAGCTCACTGAGCGGAGAACTGAGGCAGGGTTTCCAAACTGCCTGCAAACTGCCCGGCCCCGGAACCTGCTTCCACGGAGGGACAGTGACTGATAACATAGAGGTGAGCACAAAACAGCCCCTCCTGCAGTTGGGCAGTTGCCCAACGCTTTTTACTGCGAGGAGCATTTCTTTAGGAAACCGAAAGCATGAGATCTGATTTCCCCTGGTGACTTTGATGGTCTCAAACTCAAGCACAGCAGCAGTGTCTGGCCTGAACTGGATTTTGGTGTGATGGGTAAAGAGGAGAGGAGAAGACAGGCACCTACCAAGTTGCAGAAGCTGTGCACAGCCCTTAGACGTGATGCAGTTCCTTTAGCCCTGCAGGGAATGTTTCTCTGCCCAGGAGACCTCTTTAAACCATAGCTTTATAGAGACATTTCAAAATTTAATTTCTTCTGTTCCTATGGTCCCCCACGCCCTTTCTCTGTCCCTATCAGGAGAGCAATGCCATCTAGAAAGGAGTTATTGAAACACGGTGTTTGGAAGGCAACTCCAGCCTGCAATGAGCCCAGCAGAGCTTCTGCCGGTGCCCACAGGGGCTCCCAGCGACGTGCCCGCCTGCTGATGCTACTACCTGAGCAGTTCACATCTGTTGGGGTCCGTCTGGTCATAGATGGTCTTTTTGAGGATGCGGCTGAGGTGGAGCGGCAGCCAGCAGAGTGCAAAGATCACCACGAGGCAGAACACAGTCTTGGCCACTTCCCGGCGCTGCGAAGAGAAGGTGGACAGGAGAGGAGGGATGGTCTGGCTGAGCATTGGAGAGCGGATGGAGCAAAGCACCATCTCCCCATGCTGAGCAAGGGCCCTTCAAGTAATTTCTGTAATCTGATGATGGCTGGGCACCCCCTTTGAGTCCAAAGCACAACTTGCAGGTCCCAACTCCTGCATCATGAGGAGGGCTCTGAGATCCAGGCTGCAGAAAGGGGTAAGGTACCAGCAGCACAATATGGACCAGACCCCTTCACGCCCCTTCCCACCATTGCTCCTGGTGACTTTGCTGGGGCGATACTCCCTGGGACATGGGGGCCTCCTCCATCCACCCTTCACGCTATATTATTGTGACAACCAGCTGGTCTGCCTCAAGGGATCGTTCTGCAAAGTGTGGGAGGGGGCAGTAAACTATTCTTTTCCCTGCACCCCTTGTCTGTGATATGGCACATTCAGCATTTGGTCCCGTTTGGTGTGATCTGGGCTGGCACAGCACGGCCAGAGACAAACAGCCATAAGAAATTGAAAATCAAGCTGGTCCATGGCCGTAAGGCTAGTGGTTTGGGTTGTCCCCGAGACTGGAGGTTGTAGAGCTGAAGGCCCATCCCTGGTTTTTTCCATGCATCTGCATCAATGGGCCAATATCCGTCGACCACTGTGAGGCTATGCCAGCTCATACGTGTCCTTCACAGGGACTGGTGCGTGCTCTCCCCTTCGACAGCACTCCCTCCTCTTCGGGTAATGTCAGAGTTTCTGCCCTCCTGGTTTTCTTACCCGTTTCATGTGGTCATTCAGAGCAATTCTCATGCCATTCCTCTTGCTCAACATCTCGCATGACATGAGGGTGTAGAAGATGCCAGTGCATACCAAGGGGAGGCAGAAATAGAAGCCGAAAAGCCACCAGTCCTTCACATCACGGTAGAACTGCGTGCAAAAGAGAGAATAACTGGAAACTGGGGAAAGGGGGGGAAATGGGGCATGAACTGACCCGGTCCCTGACACCGACGCTGGCCTGTATCAGACACTTCTGATGTGTGGAAGTGTAACAGCTCCTGTGCTAAGTGCACATGGGATTATCTTCCCCCAAGGTGGGTGCACGTTTAACCTAAGAAGTAAAGGCTGGTTTACCTCTGGCTGCCAGTCCAATCTAGCACTCTTGTGCAAGAAACGGTTGCAAGGACCTTATTTGGCAGACGCAGTGGGATAACTTCTGATGCTTTGTAAGGGTCTTCATTCCCTTGCTCACCCTTAGCTGACCCTGTGATAAAGGTTACCCATGCAGACTGGTTGTGGAGACGCTCTTTGGCCTGCTGGGGCAGCGTAGCGTGTTCTGAAGCTTCCTGAGATGTGTCATGACCTTCTGATGTGGATGGTGAAGACACGACAGAGCTTAAGGACCAGCTGCCTGTTTTCTGGCCCCACATTCAAAGCAAGTCTGCCCCATGCCACTACAATGCTGGGTCTTCTGTGCTTTGTCTGATACTGCTCTCCCTGTGTTCACCCTGGTGGCTAGAAGAAGCCATCTACAGAAGCATCTAATCCTCTAATCGAGGAGGGAGGATGCCCTGGTTGCCTGTGTCTCCCTTTAACTCACACTGCAGCTGGGGTGGGACAGAGTACATACCATCATGAAGCTGGATTTCTGTTCGGAGGCAAGCATGCACACCCACAGGTGTTGTTCCCAGTAGCTGAGCTCCACCATGTCAAAGGCTATAGCTTCGGGGACTGCAAGCACGATGGCCACTGCCCAGATCAGCAGCACCTCCACTGCCTTCCACATGGGGATTCCTATCCCCTGGATCCGACTCCAGGATGCCACTGCTCGGTACCTGCCCAACGCGTGGGAACGTGACAGGAGCAGATTGGAGTGAGAAAAGCAACCGTCAGGAAGGGGCTGAGAAGGTGCAGATGAGAGTTGTTCCCAAAGGCCCTTTTCCCTTATGCCTTCCTCCTCCACCCCTGAACCTTCCCCATCAGTGGAATGGGAAAGATCAGAAACAGGGGCTCAATGGATGTATGTGGTGGTAGCTACCCTTGGCCAACATCTACTTGTCATTGGGGCGGTGCCACCCTTCCCCACCACCCCAGCGGTTGTTCCAGCAGATCATGATCCTCCCCTCACCCTTTTCCGTCAGGATTGAAACTCTGTCACCAGAGTCAGTTCCTGCTGGATTTCAACTCTACAAGACAGCACCCTGTCCCCGTCTCTGAATTTGGCCTGAGACCAAGCTGCCCCGCAGTCTGCCCTTTGGTGACAATGAAGGGGTGTGCTGTAGACAAATATGGGTCAGGCTGGGCAGTGCAACTGTAGAAGTTGTTTCTTACCTGTCAATGCTGAGAGCACAAAGGCTGAGGACCGTGATGCCCACTGAGGCCTTCTGGATGAAGGGGACCAGCTTGCACACCTGGACACCGAAGGGCCAGTCCTTTGCCAAGAGCTGGGGAAGAACGGCAGGGTTAACAGGCCACTTCGGGAAAGTGTGTCCGGCTTCCCGTAATAGCAGGTGGTTACCCACAAGGTGTGAGAAGCCCACAAAGAGCAGCTTGAAAGCACTGTGAGGTTACCTCCGCTGGGGTTACGCGGTGTGTGCTCTCCAGTATTTTGTGTTTTACTGGGAACCATTCGTTTCCCCAAGGGCTCGTTGTGAGATGAGTTGATGGAAGGATGGTCCAGACACCAGGTCCTGACTCCAGACCCTGGGTGGTTTTGAATGGATCTGAATCCTAAACGCTACAATGGGCTTTGGGTCGCTTTCAGAGGGAAAATGGGTGTCATCCTCTGAAACAGCCAAAATCCAGCCAGGACAGCTTCTTTCAGGTGGCTTTCAAAGCCATGTAGTCTTAAGTCTTTACCGTACTCTGACCCTCTACCACACTTAGATTCCTTATAGAACACATTCACTGTGGCCCCAAGCTCCGCTGGGGCAAGCAGAGGGTATCGATGGGGACAAGATGCCCTGAAGGCAGGAAAAATCCAGGCTGCTCATGAGGGTAAGAGTGAGCCTGGGTTCACAACCCTTATATCCCCACGACACCTGGAGCCCATCCTAAGGTTACCCCTACTCAGAACCACCCCCCTGTGCAAGCTCTTTAGTTTGGCCTCAGCAGCAAGACAAATTGATCCAGAAGCTCTCCTGGAAATCAGGGTCTTGGGTGAAGGCAACCAACCAACCCTACCCTTTCCTTTGGTCTGCAAACCTGGGTAGTCCACCCATCTCATCTGTTACTGTGTCATAAGTGAGACACACCACGAGGGAACTGGGCTACTCTTAGGACCAGGTTGCTCATAGTCAGTTTGGGCTTCTCAAACAAGCAACAATTTCTCCTCCAGGAGGGGGCTGGAAGGGAGAGGTGTAGAAGGGAGGGGGGTTGCTCAGGTTGCCTAGGGAAATCATGAACATCAGTCAGGAAACGTCAGTGTAGATGTGGCCAGAGCAGGGAGTCCCAGCCCTGGAGATTTGACCCAGTTTTCCTGTTACAAGGCAGGCAACACCAGTGCAAGATGTCCTTAGCCTGGACAAAATACCTTGACTTTTCTTTGTGTTGGCTGCAAGCTGTGCGAGTTGCAGCTCCAAGAGACGGCCAAGTGTGTCTCCAAGCCAGCAGCTTACGTTAGCAGGAGGTGTCCTGTGGATGAGGCCTTTGGTCTAAGCCATGAACTCTGCACAAAGCTCAGTGCAACCCCCGTTCTTGGCTGACCAGGACGCAGAGCTGGGTATTGAGCCTGTGACTGGTTTATCTGCCAGCTTTCCTCGGTGAGGTCATTCCTACAGTCTCCATCTGGTCCCACACGCCCCTTTTTTTATGATACATAGGACCTTCCTACAACAGAGACTTGTGAAATACAGCAGAACTGGGCAAACAGATCCTGAAGGGAAGGGCTGTCAGACCCATCTCCTCACAGTCCTGTTGTATAAGCCTTGTTTCTGTGGGAACCCAGGCTAAAACCAACCCAACCGCCCCGATATTGTGGGTGATATAAACGTGACAGACGGACTCTGCAGTCCAGATCCCCCAAAGTGGAGAAGCATTTGCATCCCGTGGAGGCAGGTCTGCCAGATATTGTGCTGTTGCTCTGTTCTTGTTACATGTACATTGCACGACTCAAATTCTTTCCCTGGCCAGATGGTCCATTTCACATCAAGTGTGGCAAAGGCAGGATTAAAATGGAAATCTTCCCTGCCTTAGTTTTGTCTGGGGACAAATATTGGAGGGGCTTTGCTCTTCAAGCTTTTGAGGGGCTCAGCTATGACCATGCTTGTTGTGGCTGGCTCCACAACCTCTGCCTGTGCAATGGGTGCAGGGTAGAGGTGATCCCTGGGAGAGCTGCTGGCGTTGCAGCCCCGTTCCCCAGTCTGTCTCTCCCCTCTCGGGCAGAACAAATTGCGCCTTATTCAAAGCAAAGGGGTCCCGCTGGGTGAAAGCGGAGATGGTCTGTACCCCGTGGGTGAAGGGGGGCAACCTTCCCCTGGGTCAGTTCTGCTGGCCCCACGCTCCTCTGTTTTCTCACACATGAGTGAAACCCCCTGCATGGATCCGTATTCTTGTAACAGCGGGGTCGTCCGGCTCATGGAGAACCTATTTGTTTTGAGCTAAAAACCTTTACAGTTTTCAATCCATTTTCACTTAAAGTGTATCTGTTCACAGTGATTTGAGACCCTCTGCCAGCCACATCTGGTTGTTCCCACTGTCAAATTATAGGCACCTTCTTCCTACTTCGAATTTCTCTGCCTTCTCCCCCTGCCACCCAGCCTGCTCGATCCAGGTCCCCTCTGGCACTCAATTGCCACTTTTCAGGCTAAAGCTTCCCTTTGACGAACAAACGTGGCTGAACTCAAGTCCTTCACCCCATGGCATCCCTTCCAACCCTTCACAGAAACCTCTGGCTCCAGCCCACCAAAACCTGTCTCAAGTAGTGGGCGAGAAAGAGCTGCAATAGCCCAGACACATCTCACAGATGCCATAACACACCTTCTGCTCTTAACTGGGGTCTCAGGTCTACTGCCCACATCTGCCCGGTCCTCTCTGCCCCAGTGCACCATGCAGAGCTCAGGTTCCCCTGATTATTTGTTGTGCCTCTTCTCTCTCGGTTAGAGGGCAGTGTCTCTGAAAGAAGCCCCTGTTTTATAATACAGCCCTCTTCCTTGTTCCTGGATGAGTCTTCTCATTTAGCTAGAATAAAAAAGGTATTTGCTTGAGGCTGATCGACTAAACTGTGCTGGGGGAATTGTCCCCAGTGCACAAGAACAACAATTTTTGCTCAGCTGAAATAAACATCGGGTTGTAATGTCAGAAGACTGCAAGTGATTCTTTTCTTGTCATTTGAGATGAGATTTAAAAGATCTGGAAGGTTGTGTGCTTGTGTGTGTGTGTGCATAACACAGCTGTAGCTGAGTACACCTCTGCTTTCCCAGGAATGTTCTCCGAGCTTTTTGTCTGTTTATGTTTTTCTCATCCTTTCGAGAGCCGAAACACCCTCCCCCTCTCCCTTGCAAAAATGGAGCCTGCAATAAAGAGCAGAGGACAGACATTCCCCAGGGCACTGAGGCAGACACCATCCCTGCAATCACCAGGCTGCCGCAGCACTCATGCCGCATGGAGCCTACCTTATATACGTTGATGGGCAGAGCAATGAGGATGTAGAGAAGGTCGCCGAGCGCCAAGCTAGCAATAAGGACATTTGGCCCGTTCCTCATGCACTTGTTCTTGTAAATGATCCTCAGGAGCGTGGAGTTCCCGATGATCCCTACTATGAAGATGGTGCAGGACACGATGGTGTTGATGTACTTGAAGATGTGTCTGATATCTGCAGGCTTCACGCACACGGGCAGCAGGGGTGGCTCAGAGCCGGTGCTCCTGGGGAGGCTCTCCGAGTGGTTCGACAGCTTGGCATCCTGGAACAGGCTTGGCTGGACCAGACTGTAAGCCTGCTCCTGGCTAAGCACCTCGAAGGGGACGGTGCTCTCCTGGAAAGCCCCTGGGGTCTGGCCGTGTGCTCCAGAGAAGAGGCAAGTCAGAAAAATGGCTAGAGCGGTGGGAGCAGAGATTCTCGCCATTGAGGACCGAATGGCAAAGCTGGGTGCAGAAGTCCTCGCAGTGCTCGTGGGACGTCCTTGCTTGGGTCTTGGTTGGACCTGCAGATGGAGAAAGGGACAAAGGAGAGAAATTGGTTAGCAGAGGAAGGAGGAACAAGATGAGACTGAATGAAAGCAGTTGTTGGAGAAAGTCCATCATCACAGCGATTAGAAATAATGCCAGATTAGATCTCATCTGCTCAAAGCAGCTGACTCCTGTGGGTGGAAGTCTTTGCTGCTAAAATTAAACATGCCTGTTTAGAAACAAACTAACGGGAAAACAAGCAGTCTCTTATGCCTCTTACACAGTATTTCAGCAAATGAGGGCACCTGCCTCTTCTCAAATAGGTGTGTTGAATCAGCTATTGCACCTTCTGAGGTTGGTAGTGCTGCTCACCCAGCAAATCTGACTTTTCTGCCCAGCACAGCCTTTTATGCCCACCCCACAGTTCTCATTTAGTTTCTGCCTGTTTGAAGTAGCAGTTTTGGGGCAGCTGCCCTGTCGATGCCTGCACATCTGGGTGATTCTTCAAACCCCGTCCCGGGGACCACAGAACCAGGGGACCTTTTCTTCCAGTTCGTGCCATGGGAAAACTGGAGCAGCACTAACATCCCACTCTTCAGCAGATCCCGTGGGCTGCCATACGCCATCTTTCAGTGCAAAGTGAAAAGACTCAGCGCAGTCTTGCTGGGAACCATGATGGGAAAATACTGCAAGGGTTTTTCCAGAAATGCTGTATTGATACCTGACATCTTATTCCAATTTATGTGCGAGTAGAAAAGGCCCTCCTTCCCCATCCTTATAGTTGTTAATTGAACCACTTCCTTTCCAAATCCACTGTGCCCATTCAACTCAATACTCAGGGACATAAATCTCCCTGTGCTGTTTGCAGTTTTGACTGCTGAGCACAGTAAAAGGTCTCTCAAGCTCACCAAGGCTGGAGCACTACCAATAAATATCACCAGAGTGGGTTCTGCTTTGCAAATCTCGGACAATGCTTTCAGGCAGGACTAGCCAAGCTGCTGCTCCACAACCACCTGAGAAAGCTGAGGATGGCTGTAGCACTGTCCTGGCATGACGTGGATTTGTGGAAGGGGCTTCTGGCTGATCCAGATATGGCCACCGGTGGGAAGTGAGCCCAGAGAGGGAGTGGAAGACGTCGGCACCCTGTCAGTCTGTGCCCCAGCACTGTCTGTGCCACAGACAGGGACAGGTCTTGGGTCTCCTGGTTAGAGTGGGTGAAGAACATGTTTCTCAAACTATGAAACTTTACAGCTTTGAAGGGAGGAAAAATTGCTGTGCCTAGACTGAAAGCAGGAGCCTTTTCGGGCTTCCCTGGGATGTGCTCCGCTCCAGGGGAGCCAGCTGGGCGGGGATCGGGGTGCCTGTCTGGGATTAGAGATGGGACTTCAGTCTCCACTCTGATTCCACCAGGCAGAGTTGGGATCTGAGCCCAAAGCAGCTGTACCCCGGAGATCTGCTCCCCAGGACCATTCAGCCAGGGCACTCCCGGGTTGTAGCACAGTTCCCCCTGCCCAGGACCAGGGGGACCCCAGGACCAGCAATGCATATACGGTGGGAGCAGGCTGTTCCCATTTTGGGAAGGCATGGCCAAGCCATAGCTTCTCTAGATACAGCTGTGCGTTCCTCAGGCGTCAGGGGCTCAGGCCAGGCTTTGTAGAAATGTCTGTGCCTTTCTATTGTTTGGAAGACTCCAAGCAGAATCAGCACGAAGTTGGACTCAAACCAGCCTGGCCAGACCTACCCTTTTCTCAGTTTCACCCTACTGCTCTTGCCAGGAAATCTAAATCAGGCTTAGTTCTTCCTGACCCTCTTATGTCCTTCGGTCAGGTCCTTAGTACTTTAAACTCTAAACAAGCAGTGTCAGGAGGAAGCCTAAAATTTATTCCCCATTACATGTCAAATATAGGCAATAAAATAACCAAATCCCTTCAATCACAATTTAGACATCATGAACTAGAGAGTTAAGTTTTCAGTTCTGTTAAAACAACCACATTTTAAAGATGTTTCTTTTCTAGTTTGAATCCTTATAACGGCACCTTAGATACAGTTTCACCACAGGAAAGTTAAAGATGCCATTACTTTTCTTTTCAGCTCACTGTAAGCATGCTTCTATCTGCTAAAATATTCATGCCTTAGCAATCTTGTGTGTTCTCTGTACCTTTTATCTGTGCAGACTCAAACAGCTTTGCAAACTTACCTTGCAGGTAAGCCGCATCGGTGTGAGCCAGAACAGGCACTATGAAGTTACCTGCCTGCTTCTGGCTGAAAAAAGAAGAACGGTTTTCAATGACTTGAAGAGCATTTAGAGAAAAGTCTCCGTATGATGGTTGGGAAACAACCCATATCTGGCCTGTAAGCACCCCGATCGCAGAGGTACGTAGGTATCCCAACACTGAGGGACACCTGCAGGTGTATGTGATCTGAAAACTGGGGAAACCCTCAGCCCATACTGTCCCTCCTGCACGGGCAGAGCTAATTTCCTAAGGAGGGGGTGGTGGGATGACAGCTTGTCACCTTGGATAACCAGTATAAAATACTATGGGAAGGGACTAAGCTATGCACCATAATACCTGGTTATTAAAGAGCCGAGGCGAGGAGGAGCCTCCTTCCTCAAAAGACCCTTTGGAGATGCATTGGTCAAAGCTGAGGACTCATGCAGTTGTCACCAGTCAGTGTGTGGAGAGGAATGTTCCCACTTGCTTGCTGGAACAATCTTGGTCCTTGGTGGCTACGAAAGTCCTGGTGCCCTCCCTGGCCTCAGCACATCCCTAATCAGCTGATTGTCAAATCTGGGATTTTTTGACCAGAGAAGCGTCACCGACACCACCTTCTTCCTGATATTTACCTAAACATCTGCTCCAACTGCTGTCCTGGAGACAGCTGGCCAGGGTGGACTTTGCTCTGACCTGTTTTGATGTTATTCTCAGCTGTGATTCCTGCTCAGGTGCTGGGCGCCCAGCTATGTTGGGAAGGAGGGGAAGAAAGGAAGGGAGAGAACAGATAAATAACCTGAAGGACCACAAACCTGACTCGGAGACCTGGGCACAAACCCCTGCTCTGGCTTGGTGCAGGGACTTTAGCCTGCACCCTTGCTAAGGTCCTTAGCTCTCCATCCTGCCCCAGGCCACACCGGGGGCAGCTCTCTCGTGGGTGGGTGCCCTGACCAATGCCCTCCTCTCTTCCCCACTATGCCCACAGGACTGGGGCTCGTAGGAGAGGGCAGACCCAGCTCAGAATTCCTGCCTGGGAACCTTGAGGGTCTGGGCACCTCACAGGGATCAGCTTCGGACGGCACAGACAAACGTCTGCCACTCAGGGCTGTCTGGGGGCTTGGAGAAAGGCGGTGGCTCCTCGAGTCAGCAGCTGACAGAGGGGTACCAGAGCATCCCCGGTCGTGTCCTGTGCCCTCTGCAGCAGCGGGCTGCTCCTATCTGCTCTCCCTGATGCAGGGCTACAGAGCCTGGTGTGGCTGTTCAGCCCCTGGGTATTTAGCAGGAGAACTCATGTGAGTATCACAGGACATGGCTCACTGGATCCTGCCCGTGCCCTCCGCAGCGCAGCTGCAAAGCACTGGAGAAAAAAAGCACTTGTCCCTCATGTTGCCTTAAAATCCAGCAATTTAGCAAAAGAGAAGCATTGTTTTCTCCTGTTCAACAGCCCATTTACTTCTTGCCCTCCATTGCCTCTCACATCTCAGAGTGCTTGAAAGCATAACCCTTTCTCACTTGTGGGGGAAACTGAGGCACGGGAGCATCAAGAAGCTTGTTCAGTGCCCAGCAGATGTGAAGCCAAAGCCAGCATTGCTTGACCCAAAATCCTCTGAGCTTTGTTCATGTTGCTGATCATCTGGGGAAGTGACTTGGTGCGTGAAGGGGCCATCCCCATCCCACCTGCCCAGCTGGGGCTCTTCTCTTAGCAAATAGCTTAGACACATGGAAATGGAAATGCCTTTTACACTGTGCTGAGTCCAAATCACAGCTGAAACCACTGGAGCCATGACGTGGACATCAGGGAATGGTTCCCAGAGAGGAGACGAGACTGAAAAGCATTGCCATAACCCTGCACAGGCCGCAAAGGTCCCAAACGCGCCCTGGGGGGCTCAGGACTCCTCTTGCCTGGGAGCCCAGGAGAGCCGACCACATCCCAGGTGGCATCTTCATCTCAAGCCAGCCTCTCCCGCCACGGCGCGCTGCCTGCTGTCCTGCCCGTAGCAGGGCAGGCTGCCTTCGAGAGCAGCTCCGCTTGTGCTCTCCCGCCAGACTAACCTTGCCAAACGCAAAACAGACCTTTTCTGCGGACAGACGTCTCTTGCGGCAAAAAATGCCATGGGTGGGGGAAAGGGGAGAGAAAGGCAGATGATAACACCACATCCTCAGCTGCTTCCCTGACCTGAACCCAACCTGGTGCACAAGCAGAGGGACCTTCCCCCCCCCGAGGTGTGCTGGATTTCTTCTCGTGCACCCTCTCCCTGCCCACCTGTTAGAGCTTGCTCAGGCACCATGGTCCCTTCAACGCCTCCCCCAGAGTGGGGGCCGGGGGGGTGTGTGTGGGGTGAAAAACATGCAAAAACTCACCCCAAAGCAGGAAATCATTTTGTTTGCAAATTAGTGCATGGAACAGCAAAGCTTTTCATTGGAGTTAAGTTACCTTTCTCGTAACTTTGGATGCTCCTGGGATCAGTTTCTTTCCCTCTCACTGCTCCTTCCCACTGCACGGGCAGCTGGGCATGTCCTGCAGGCCCTGGGAGAACTGCAGCGTTGTAGATCCTGGAGTTTGCTTTTGTGTGTGGGCTCGTGCTCAGGGGAATGTTTCTCCCCTCTTGTGACTTGCTGAGGTCTCTCTGAATGGAGTGGTTGGTTATATAGAAAATCGCAGGGCTCCCCCTGAGCGCAGCCCCTGCAACCAATAGGCAAAGCGCGGGACGGGGGTGTAGGAGGAGGGTGAAGCAGGAGAAACGCAGGACAGCTCTGTGAAGGAGATGAAAATAATAAACAAATAAAGCTCGAGGAGGAGGGAGGGAGCTGGGGGAAGGCTGCTGACCGCAGAGCAGCGTGCCTGCTCGGCACGTTGTAGTGATGGGCTCGGAGGAGCCCCGTGGCTGTGCTTTGGTGAAGGAAGCTGCAGCCCCGACCACCTTTGGGGAAAAGACACATCAAAGCCTTCTCTGCCCAGGGTGTATAAAGCCAGCTGCTCCACCTGGAGCTTTTGAGGAAATGTTCAGGAGCAAGATGAGTACTGCAAGCAAGGCGGAGGGGACCCGTGGTTTCCCTTCTAGCAGAGAGGACGGAGTGTAAGAAGTCCTTACTGAGGTGCTGGGGAAGGACGAGCCTCGCTTTTCCCTCTCACGCGGTCTCCCCAAACCCTGGTCTAGGTGAAGCAGTCTGGGAACAGGTTTCAGACCATGCTCCCGTCTACAAGAAGTTGCACTGATGCCTTTTCACGTGCCAGCTCTGTTTTTATTTTGCTGTGGTTTCCCTGCATCCTGAACTGCCTGAAAAGCAGCATCCGATTGCTCAAGATGCAGGGCAGAACACTTCATGGCTGAGCAGCCGGTGCTGCCGAAGGGTCACACCAACCTCCCCCATCAGCCACACATCCAGTCCGGTCTCTGGACATGGTCAAAGACTCCCCTCTGCTCTCCACCTGCCTTTGAACAGAAGATCACGAGCAGTGCTTTCATGAGACCCTTCCTGTCTTTCTCCAAACCATATGAACATGTAGACAATTTGTGCTGCTGCTCAGCCTGCCTCTCCCCCTGTGGACAAAGCCTCTCCCAACCTCCTTGGCTCATCTGCTTGGAGAGGAAAGTTTCTTTCCTCACCGTGCTGTGAACCCAGCTGTTCTCAGGAATGGGAGATTTATCTGGTATGTGGCAGCCTGTTTATTTAAAAAAATGCCAAAACACCTTGCTCTGGGGTCCTTGATGGCTCAGAAATGTGTTGGCATGGTGCAACTATACTAAGTCAAGGCAACTTCACTTTGATGCAGGAATCTCTTTGCCCTTTTAGCCCCAAAACAAGGACAGAAAGAACAGGTTCAGACTCCTTCCCAAATTGAAGGCATCTCAAGTGGAACGAGATCATGTTTCTCTGACGCACTAGAGGGTCGTGCTGCCATCCAGAGGGACCTCAACAGGCTGGAGAAATGGGCTGAGAGGGACCTCATGAAGTTCAACAGAGGGAAGGGCCAAGTCCTGCCCCTGGGGAGGAATAATGTAGACCTCTTGTAGGAAGCCATCTTGCAGCCTTGCTCACCCTCATTGTCCATCTCCGACCTTTTCTCAGTTGTATCGTGTTATTTGTATATTGTTTTATCTTCAAGCCATGATCTTGTCTAATCTCTTTTCTTACTATGTTTTTGATTACCATTCTTCAAAATGTAATTGCCAATTAAGTATGCCTGGCATTGGAAATATCAGATAAAATGTTTGTTCCTTTCTACTCTATTCTTCTTTTTTCTTACCCCTTGATTGAAAGTTTTAAACTTTGGAGCATATGCAGTAAGTTATTAAAAAAATATGATTTTTTTAATAATAACCTAGGAAGTTCAAAAGCCAACAGAGTCACACAAAGGTACTCCTATATGTCCTTTATTATCCTGTAGAAGGATTTTTGCAGCAAATCTGCTGCGATCCAATTCTGGAGACAGACTTCTGTGCTACGTGCTCATTTTGTCTGACCAACTACAGACCACTTCAGCTTGTGCGACATGACAACAACAAACACAAAACTGACAAATACTTTCAATTCGTCAAAACTCGGAGGCGAACGAATGACTGCCAT